TGGGAAACACTGATCTAAAACACCGGCTAAAGATATAAGGATTATAGTTGTGATTTCTCTAAGCTGCAGTGTTCAGACGGGAACACTGCACCGCCGCTGCAGAGGACACGGTGTCACCTGATGGTAACATGATATCAAGTTATGTCATTCAACAAATCCRATACTAATCATCTCATACTGACACMGACTTTCACTCTTTGGAATKTCACACGACTCATCGGACATGACTGACCACTTCCTCCGACACGTGGAAAGTAAAAACCAGACGCTGCGTTATAAAGGATCTGGAGAATAGATATMAAAGTGCTTCAACCCTCAGCAGTCGTGTTTTTGCACAGCCGAAATGGTGACAGGGCTTGGCTGAACGAGTTAACGTCACACTGAACCCGAAGGGGAGTGGAGGAAAAGAGCAGTCAGTGCAGAGCTCTAAAGCACGGTGGTGGTAGTATCATTATAGGTGTGTTTTTCTACACCTAGAGTGAGGAAAAAAGTTAGGAATAAGTTGCTGAAAATGAAGGAACTTGATCAAAGAATCTACCTGATGTGTAGGTCTGTACCTATAAGGTGTTTAGCTGTTCTTTCAACAACCTGTTAACAGTGAAGCACGGCGGTGGTAGAATCATTGTGCGGRTGCGGTTTCTGTAATGTGAATCAGGAGGCAAGCCAGGACTAAGTAGCCTGTTCAAAGTTACGCTTAGTTCTAGTTTCCCTTCACTGCTTCGTCTGGGATTTCTCCCGTAGACGAGGATTTCTTCAGTAGAATTTTACCTGGGCCAATCAGCAAACAGAAGGACGAGTTTTGAACGACAACGTTGATTTTCTGCGCAGTGTCTGCTAGTTTAGCAGTGGTGGTGGAGGAAGTGAATGAAGCCAGTCCGTGCTGACAAGGCTTCCAAATTAAATTAACTTTATCTCACTGTGGCTGCCCGATCTGTACCGGAAACATTGTTTTTAGCATGTAGCATTTCGCTAGACTGATGACAGAATTCATTCGATTTCAGTCTTTGATCACCTGCAGTGTTTCATAGCTACAGCTGAGGATTTTTATTCCAGGAATAAAATAAAATGAAGATAAGATGAGTTATAACATGATTGTCTAGAAAATAGTTTGCAAGTTATTATAAATACACATTGTAAATCTATATTTTATTAATCAAAATGTATACAATATTAAAACTGTTTTCAGAATATAATGTAACACACCTTTATAATTAAGTATAGAAATAATAATTTTCATTATTTTTTTCCTAAATTGAGCACATTCCAGAAGTCTATCTTTTAGAGCAAATGAGTTGACGGTACGGATCGTGCTACCGGGGCGGATCGGGCAGCTACGATCACAAAGCCTGCAGGACTCATTTACAGCCATCTCGCTCGGTAATTCTCTCCTCTCAATAGGGTTGTTTACAGTGCGCGCAGTTTCCCGTTAGCTTCTTAGCTTAGCCTCCATCACAGTGGAGCTGGGGCGCATGCGTCGCAACTAGGGATGCACGATATATTGGTATTGATATCGGTATCGGGCGATATTGGTCATTTTTTAGAATATTGTATTGGTCTGATGAAAACTGGGCCAACATTAACGTCCGATATTGATTTCCTACTTTTTATCTTTGTGTTTCTGTTTTTGGAAGGGAGATGGCTGGTCGAGTGGCATCTGTTTGATCATGATAGTGATATTAATGCTGCGTAGCCAGGGATAACTGAAGCAGAGAGCCATGTCGGAGGTCTGGTCATTTATTTACAGTATCAAAAAAGACCCAAGTGTATTTGATGTTTACATGTATAATATAATTTGTGTGTTTGTGTAATATCAGTAAATATTGGTTATCGGCCATAATAGTAATAATTATATCGGATATCGATATCAGCTGAAATTTTCAAATCGGTGCATCCCTAGTCGCAGCCAACTGATCCAATAGTTTTAAACTTCAACTGAGGCCACGCCTCCAGGAAGCAATCGCTTCTCAATAGCGAGAGTCCAGACCCTCTGTACGAAGCAAAGCGAAGAACAAGGGGCTGGTTTTACCAGACTAAGGACTAAGTAATTTGAAATAAAAACATTTGTTTCAAGAATCTATCAAATGTGAAGGTCTTTACCTATAGGCTTTTAATGGTTCTGTCAACACCTTGTTCACAGTGAAGCAAGGTAGTGGCAGTATCATTGTATGGATGTGTTTTAGTGCAACATTGATCAGTAAAATAGCCAAGATTGATGCAAAAATGAGCTACTTTGTATAACATTTTCCCGTAGTGCTCAAAGTCACCATCCAGTTGAAAGTTCCTTTCAGTCTGACGCACAGGGAAACATGGACGTGAAGAACTCTGGTCCAGGATTTTTGTGATGTAAAACCTCAACCTGAACCAAGAGCATTATTAGCTTCTAGAATCCTTGAAGCTGTCAGCTAAGCTTTAACCAAGTCCATGAAGGCTGTGAGGAACATGAATTCTGTATATTTTTGTTTAAATAATGTACAGTAACACCACAACCCCATACATTTTTCTTTGCTGTATTGGAAATTGTCAGAAACATCCAAATAGAAATTTGAAATTTTACAGCGCAACCTTCATCTGATGATGGCGGCAAGACAGTGAATGGAGGTTTTATTAGATGTTACTGTAAATCTCCACCATCAGAGCTAAATGTTGTGTCTGGTTATCAGTATTTTCCACTGCTTATTGGAAGCTGCTTAAAGTAAAAGAAAAGAAAACTTGTCATAAAGAGAAAATATGACGCGGCCACTCTGCATACTCTAAAATGACACAAACAGGAGCCCAGTACTGATCCTTGAGGGACACCATCCTGCATGTTTAATTGTTTCTCCACTTTGATAAACCTATTTTTGAAAGAACGAGGGATCACTGGGCTTCTGCAGAACCCGGAGAGCAGAGAAACAACTGCAACCTGCAGGACTGTGGCCTTCGAGGACCAGCATTGGGCACCACTGGGGTAAAAGAAAGCTGACGTTTATTTTATTTTGTCTCCTCGTATATGTGGTAACCGAACAAACACCCTCGAAGCTTTTCTYACCGCTCGCGTCTTTCTCTCGTAAAATTGTAGCACTTTTCCCTGCTGGTGGTCCAGACCAGTCAGCATTTAACCAGTAATGACCTTACTCTGCCAGCAGCTCGCCTCCTCGRACAAACTTTAATTTAAAGCAATTATCGGAACAGAGACGGAGAAATGGCGGCTGTTTTCCGGGCAATTAAAGAAAGAACCAACATATAAAAAAAACCAAAACAAAACGAGACTTCAGAAGTGGTTCAGTGGCTGTGCTGAGAGACAAAGGGTTTAAAGTGCCTGTGAAATGCCTATCCTTCAAATACAAAAAGTCAAAGAAAGCATCTTTATACTTAAGATAATTGGCATAGTACACATGATTTTACCCATTTTGTCACATAACTGGCCTATTTTCTTTTAAATTTGGCTCAGCCAAAGTGAAACAGGAAGTGACATCAAAGCTGAACTCTTTAATAAAATAAACTCGCTGGTTTCTGTTTATTAAACCAAAATTATTTAAACTTTAACTCATCTTCGTCTCTCTTTGGTAGAAACTCAAAATAATCTAACGAAACATCAGATTCTTCTCTACAGTCTGTGTTGTTAGTTTTTGTAACAACGCTGTGTTTACATGCAGACATTCCCCTTTGACATCACTTCCTGTTTCTTCACATGCAAATATCTCAACAGCTCTTCATCTCAGCGGCGTGAAATTAGTTTTGCAATATGTTATCTTTCCAAAAACGCATTAATGTTTATTACAAAAATTTGATGTCACAGGCACTTTAAATTAAATTCTTTTATGATTATTATCTGAATATGGCTGAACTTTCCCACCGTAAACACATCGAACGTCCAGTGGAAGCTTAATTCAGGGTTACGTTTTTTTGTTTCAGTTTCGTTTTCATACACTTTATTCTTGATATTCCTTATTTTAAAACTGGCTGTAGTTTTTATTTTTGTGCACCGAGCAGCTGTGACGTTGTTTTTCATTAACTTGGGGTCCGGTTTCTTCTCCACGGAGCAGTTCAGACGTATTTAACTTTTCACTCGTACTGCTGTGTGTTTTGGGTCTCTGTGTTTAGGCTTTCTCGGTTTTTCCCAAACCGTATAATTTTCCTTTTCGCCGCAGAATGTGTGTGTGTGGAGGGCGATACCCTGATCTCTGGGACTTGTTTTAAAGACACCTGTTCCTGCGTGTTGGAATCGGCCCAGATTTTGTTGGTATTAGCGCGCCAAATATGGCTGCAGGGCCAAGATTATGGGAAACTTTTTCTCTCTGCCGTGGGAACGCTGAGCCACAGTGTCTGAAGGGAAACCGGCTATAATGGATATTTTGGTGTGGACGCTTCTTTAGCTGAAAGCTGTTTTGAAAAATGGGGCAAAAATAACAGTTTTTAGATGTTAGCAAAGCTTCTTGTGTTAAAAGTTTCATTCACTATAATATGGCCTTGATTTATTTTCGCAGCACATCTAAAGCCTTTGATTCTCAAGAGGAATTTAAAGTAATATAAAGGATTTCCTTTAGTGGATAAGGTGGAGAGTGTTAAATGTACTGTTTTCTCTTTTTCAAGAACTGGACTGTAATGTCTCCAAATGGAAAAAAAAAGATTGTGACTTCAGGCCAAAAGGTCAAGTTTCACCTTTCATCTGCTTGTTGAGCTGCCACAAATTGCATATTTGAAACAGGAGTCTGGGAATGAAGGTTTCTTTTTCACGTGCCTGTCCACTTTCCTTCAGCGTGTAGACACAATCATGGAGGGGGGAGACATACCTGAGGCTGCTGCCGTCTTCTAAAGAGGGATGAGTGATGGAGCGATAGGACGATAGAAAATCCCACTGCCACTCAGTCTCACCACACGTTGCTCCTATCAAGCCCCGGCACGTTTGTCACCAGAGAAGCCACAGAGCTGGAAAGTTTTCTTTGTAAATCTGTGATAAAAGTTATGACAACTGACAAAACAAACCACAACAACAGATTTTATTTTTGGTGCTGAAAATATGAAGGTTTTTTTTTTCTATCCCTCATGCTAACGAGCTCTGCACTGCCACATTTTGAGCAGGAGCACCACCAAAACAATGGGGGTCGGGGTGGCAATGCCCCACCAATGCACCCCCCCAACTTATACCCATTGGTCTGTAAAATCCCAAGCTTTTGCTGGATGTGTATTTCATACATGTCAAGTTGTTACATCCTTTTGCAGGTATACAGACGTATAGAGCAATGTTACAGATTTTTCTCAAATCTTACGGATTTTTTCAAAACCACATTTTGAAATTTATYTAACATGTAGCCTGCAGGATGATAAAAAAGCAAATAACATCAACTAACCATCTTACAACCTGTTCTGCCACTAGAAATAAGTTCTGCACTTTTTCCGCCCCGCGGTTGCRAGTTGTACAGAGTTTTGGCAAAACTTCAGGATTTTTGAGGCTCTTTATACAGGTAAACATCCAAAGGGGTTGACATGTAAGGTATTTTTAATTTCCCCTATCTATTTAGGATTATTAAAACCTCATAAACATAAAAAACATAATTATTGAGGAACTAGGAGTTAAAAATTTAAATGTATATTTTTATTTATAATTCAAAATAAAACTTAAGCCTAGTCCTCCTAAATAAAGACAACTGGTCTAAGTCTGGTGTCATCGACATCAGGATGCACAGTATTCGGTTATATGCATATTTTTTAAAAATATCAATTTCGGAGAGGACACGCTTCAAAAGGTTGGGTTTTGACAACTTTTCTCAATTAGTGACAAAACTCAACTTGTAATTTAATAAGTAATTAAAGTAAACCTATGCACATTACAAGGTGATTAATTAACCCGTGTATTGCTGTAGTTGYCAAATAACCTGTACAACAACCTAATAAATCTCCTAAAATTCTGTTCTGTCTTTTGGTTTTGGTGCCACTCCAGGACTTTCATTGGCCCCGTCATTAAAACATCTCTGGAGACGCCACTGGTTTTAGGGAAGGTCTTTATCTGATAATGTCCGTACCCAAGCGTGTAATTTCTACTTTAATCTCTCTCCTTATCACTGGTGATTAAAAGACTCAATTGGGTTTATCTTCACTAGTCTGTTATCGTGTTTTTTTGCTTTTTTGTAAATCTGGGTGGTGTGGAGAGGAGCTACAATTAATCAAGATCTTTCTACATTGTTAATTTAACTTGAACAAAGATATTTGTTGTTTGATTCATTGTTTGGTGCCTTTTTGTTTGTAAGCAAAAGTACTCAAGAACTAAAAGAATTATGAAAATCAAATWAAAAATGAGGCATGGGTAAAAGGTGTTTTCTACAATAGTTGTAAAAATATAACCATTTTAAGCATTAAAAATCAACATTTTGGAAAATATGCATTTTATTAGACAAAGTTATGAGGATAATTATTTCACTCATTTGATTTTTTCAGTAGATTAAAAAATGACTTGATTCAAGCAGCTAACTTTGCTAGAAAGCTAATTTTTGCTAGCGGTGTGCTTGGATAAGGTAGTTTTGTTGAAATGTGATCATTTAGTTCCAGTGTAATTGTTCCACTGAACATTTAAAACAAATTTAGTGTCAGTTTAAATGTAAAAAAACTAAATCATTCTTTGTCACAGGTGTTAATCCTGAAAAAAAAGCCTCACATGCTAAACTCGTACTAGCATTGGATCTAGCTTTCTTAGTTGGTTATTGTTTGACAACTACTTCCATCTAAAAATTGTTTTTTACTTCAWATTTACATAAAAATGATTCTCGTCTCTAAGCTTCTTTACTGAAATGTTAAAAGGCCTCTCAAAGTTTCTTGTGTAATAGTATCATTAAACTACAAAGTTTGTAAAATTATAAATTCTATTATGATATATATAAAACTAAAGAGATTTAGGGCTGTGTTGGAAATTTCTGATTTTTTTATAGTTTTTTTATTTAAAACTTTGAAAGTCAGAATTTAAAATATAAAAATAGATATAATTTTTTTTAAGTGGCACTAATCTTCTTCCATACATACAGGCACTAACAACACAAGTGTTTGTGTAAATTTGTGTCTGTTTCGTATAGTTTTTAAACTCTAAAGATGTTTTTATCCTGACTTTTGTCTCTTTGTTTTTCTGTTTTGCCAGTAATAAGCATTTCCACTTATATAAATCTCWCTCTGAGCYGYTTGTTACTAAAACTCACCACTGAGKCTGACATTTGGTCTTTAAAACATTATTATTGTGGTTTTTAGAAGCTATAGTCACACAGAAAAGAAACTGTGGTGCTCACGTAAAGGTTGTTCTGTTTGCTTAGAGGGTGGGACATTGTTTACATCTTGATCCTGGAATTGAGAAAAGATGGCGCCCTCCCGTCTTTATCGAGCCTGTACCTCATTAAACTCAGATGTGGCCTCATGTAGTGAGGGCATCAGCAGCGTGTGTAAAAATCCACTTTCAGATCCTTTCCTGTGAAACTTTTCAAACATAATTCAGATGAGGCCTTTTTGAAGTGTTGCTTTGTGCGTTCACTTAGTTTTTAGGAAGTCATTAAACTTAGTTTATATTTTATTGTGTTCCAGTAGATATGGTTCGTACAGACTCCCTCGCCCCACAGCTCTTGCAGGTCGACCCCACTTGTCACCGCAGCGTCAGAAATGCGGAAGAGGATTAAATTAGACCTCGTCTTCACCGTGCGCTGTGTTGAATGTTTGTTATGGAAACTTCGAAGCCATATGCTGACGGCGGTATGAGCACCATGTGTGCTGCCTGTGACGGTGCTTTTCGTTTGGCCTGGAAACAGAGTTGGGCTTATTTTTCGGAGCTCTAACCCTGATGTCTCCATGTTTACCACAGTTGCTGAGCAGCAACAGTCGTGAGATACTGACGAGTTCTGGGGTTTTGTTGGTGAACTAAAGAGTGGCGTCCTCCCCCCAGCCACTTCAAATGTTTGCACAAGAAACTCATTTAGATCAATGTTTGGACACATTTCTGCTTTGAAAGAATAGTTGAGATTCTTTGAATTGAGGCTTAATGGAATAGCTTTTGGCGGTCAGTAACTTACCTGCAGTAGATAGCAATTAGAACATCTCAGTTTGGAGAATCAGGTGGAAAATCTAAAGAAGTCAAGCTAAAGAGGAGTCAAACTGTCTCACCACGACTAACTTTGACTTAAAGTGGTTCTATGAGGTTTTCCGTACAGTTTGAGCTAGGGCTGGGTGGTATGACCTCAAATTCATATCACGGTATAAATTCAGTCCCTTCGCAGTAATGGTANCCTGACAACAGAGCTCAAAGTGTGGGATCATTTTAAGAAAATGAAAGAAACCTGTGCAATATCTGCAGAGCAGAACTTGCCTTCCACAGCAATTATTTTTAGTTAGCATATAGCTAAAATCTGACCATGGTTATAGAATAGCAGCTGCATTCTGATGTGATAAGCTGTATGTTTTATATTCAATTAAYGTATGATCCGATTAGTCGACTGGTCGAATAAATAATCGGTGATTAATCGATTATTAAAATAATCGTTTGTGGCAGCCCTATTAGGYACTAGGGTCAGGGACAAAATGTCTAAATTTTAGGCTTTGGGACGGTTAGAWTTTTGCATTTTCYACACTTTCTGAAATGATGACAACGGATTCTGCCCCATCTCATCAATAACTGACACTAGGGGAGTACCCRACGTGTCAAAACCGGAGGGAACCTTGGAAAAGCGTCAATATGTGATGAGTTGGGAGTGAGAATGTGTTGACTTAWCGGCTGCTGCTCTGCTGCGCTCTCAGAGCAGAAGATGGATATCTGGCTGAACGAACGTCCACATTTTTTTAAAATCATCTCTGTGGGTAACAATACATAAAAAACAAGTTTTTTTCGTCGACAACTTGGGTGTGGAAAAACTACGGTTGTTAAAGCTTCGCTCTGCTTGACGTGCAGCGGGAGGGAGGGAGGAAATCATCCCGTGACAAGTAAGGGTGCAAGAAAATATTGATACACTGAAATATCGTGATATTTCATTTCCCGATACTATATCGATATTCTAAAGCCCTGTAT